AGTAGTACTTTTCTGAAATGTGAGCTTTCCAGACTCAGCGGGCAGATGCTAAAAACTCAGAAAAATGCAACAAGAAATCAGTTTGAGCAACAGTGGTTTAACGTTATCAGCTATCAGAAACCAACACGTGTTTATCGAGCGATTTGATAAAATTGAAGGCCGTTTTCTAACAAGAAAAGCAGAGTTTAGCCACCTGCTGCTACCAAACGCACGAGTCACGTAAGGTTCTCAAAGGGCAAAGCACAATAATAAACTTCAAAAAGCACAACGTTTCTGCGTCCAGGAATTAGACTTTAGCGGACAGAACAATGCCTACGAGTGTATGTTTCATACCTTAGCATGGGTTTCCTAGATATTGGAAATAAAAAACATCAAGGACAGCATCGGCAAGAGCATCTTCGGCTGCTCTCAAACGACGGAGATTGCGTTACTTTTCACAGATTGACCGCTTACCACCTGTTTTTGGGTTCCCATTTCGACGGAACGCTTGCTTCGAGAGGCGCGCGGCAAGGATCTGAACTCTTCTTCATGAGACATTGAACTGAATTTAACGGAAATATGCCACCACCACCAACAACACGACCTTTTTTCGGGTATTTGTCGTTTTTTATACGAAAAGTTCGGGTAAGCAGATTCACGCAAAAAACATTTGGCTTAAAAAATGTGTTTAAAAGCCCACCCTGGATTTGAAGCAAAAAGTATTTCCTCGAAATAAGCTAAAAAGTACCCAATTCACGCGGCGAAAAAATGGATGATTATGGAAGGATTATCAAATTCTTGCCTAACCTGAGGGATTTCGCAATTTCCCGTGATGTAGGATTAGGGGTAGGAAAAAAGCCCATAACCTGCGCCTGTCGTTGTAAATTTCCTAAAGATCAAAAATTTCAGTAAGAACCTAAAAAAACAGCTTAAAGGAGGGGCACACACCTTGACCTAGCCAGGGAAAAGGGGTTCCTGATTGAGCTAAACTGTCATTGATGCACGGTGCAATTAGTTAGACCTGTTACTATCCCCCGCGCAACCACAGGAACAAGTCCAGCCATTTGGGCCAGGGGGAGGGGAGTACTTTGAAGCGGTCCTGTCGGGGACTTTCGGGGGTAGAAGGCGGGCAAATCGAAAATAACTTCTCTTTGCTTTTGTGAAGTACATCATTTCTCGCACGGTTGACATAGCTGTGGAAAGGCCCTTTTGAAACATGTCCCGGCAACATGCAGGGCATCACGAAATTGACGTCAATTCCTTGAATCAACTCCATGAACAGGGAGAGGCGATAAATCCCATCTTAAAAGATGCTTGATGTCTAGACGTGGATAGTCTGTCCGCAGTCATTTTTCATTTTGTATATCGGCACCATTTGACAGCGCACGAGTGAATAGGAACGCAGTAACGAGCCCTAACCCCACCCCATTGCCCTTGCGGTCAATAAATCATCGCGTTTTTTCCTTTTTTTTTATGCGCGTTCGAGAACCTCCAAAGGGAATACTGATAAGGCTTAGGTCATCCCCTTTTCGTTCGTTTAGAGTCGAATAGGTTTCCTGGTTTTGGGTGGGTCGGTCAGTGGGGTGAAAAAAATCACAAGAAATCTGAGAACAGGAGGCCTGAAACACCAGCATCATTGCCGTGGAGCCTGAAAACAACAAGGCATGGTCACCAAATCGACACAAACTCAATATGAAGGAAAATGTGATGGTCAATATCATAAAAAAAGGGCCCAAAAAGGGTAAAAAGCAAAAAGTATACACCACCGAACGTTTTATGCCTGGAAATGCTGTTATAATGCTCATTTCCTAGATTAAAATAATTAATTTAAGTCCAAAAAAAAAAAAACCTTGTCGTTTCTTTTTCTTGCTTTTTTAAAGAATGCCAAAACACTGGGTCTGTTGGACAACACTAAACGAAGAAATAATTAATATAGGTATTAAGTTCCCTTAGAGTATAAAAGTATAATTTTACAAGGACAGGATCGAACGTATACTGAGTAACTAATGATAAAAATTTGATCAAAACTAAATGAAAGGCTAAGAGTCTAAGCGCTGCCTGATAACGAAACGGTAAACAAGAAGTGCTGCCTGTCATTTAATAGAGACGTGACGTGGGACGTGGGTGGACCACATCCTGAACTTCTGCGAAAACCGGAAGAGGGGAACGCTCAGGGCTAAGGAGACTAAACAGGGGCGTACCCGAAAATGTTGAGGAGAAAAAATAGAATTAAATAATCATAACTAAAAAACTCGGTTTCCAGAAAAGCGACGACATTAATTGGAGATCCGAATCTTGGATGATTTATTTATATAGCAATCTTGATGATGTAAAGCGTGAACGCGTTGTTTTCTCCACGACTTGTCTTCGGATTAGACGAAGTAGGGCACAATTACGTCAATGTGTGGTGCTTTTGTCGGTCAAAAATAATGTGACAAAAGGGGGTAAAAAGAGTCATTTATAAACTAAAGTCGGAGTTACTACAAGCTTGATTTTTAATAGCTGAAAATGATAAACGGTTGACGTCAATGAACATAAGAAGACGACAAGAATTTTAGAGGTTGTGTCATTTCATAAACAGCAAAAATGCTTTTGCTTACAACCGTTAACCCCACCTTTAATAAAGGCACCTTAAAAAAATGTTGAGATTTGGGGTGGGGGGGGGGGGGAGAAGACGATGTGGAAAAAGTTGGGCGTACCTCCGGAAAAATCCTGACTACGCACCTGCTAAAGCCTGAAACTGAACAACAGTAGTCTTGACGAAACGTTCTCAGTTATCATCTGTCCGGGGTCGTACTTGCAAGGAAGCGCTGATCAAGAATCACTCATAACGGAATGAAAACTCCTCGTAGCTTCCAGCGAAAAAAGGAGTGACAACAGTGGTAAGAGGTCGTTCTGTGAAATGTAACGCAATCTTTGCTGTTTACGATCATTCGGCCCTTGGATTTAAAACGTTGTTGTTTGGTATGTTCTCCCGTGTGGATACTTGACATTTCCAACATATGGAAACACCATGCTAAGGTACGAACAACAGACATTCAAAACATTGTTTTGTACGCTAAAATCTGATTTCATGCACGTAAAACGTTTTGAATTTTTTAAAATATTAGTGCTTTGCCCTCCCTTTGACAACTTCACGTGACTGGTGCACTTGGCAGGAGTTGACAGCTTAAACCTGCCTTTCTTGATAGCAAACGGCATTAATTTATATCAGATCGCTGTATAAACACGTCGTGGTTTCTGAAAGCTGATAACATGAAACCACTATTGCTCAAACTGATTTCTTATTGTATTTTCCCGAGTTTTTAGCATGGGCCCGCCGAGTCTGGAAAGCTCAAATTTCAGAAAAGTACTACTTGTATTTTTTGGCCTCAAAAATTTTCTTTTAACTTGCCCATTGTTTTGAAAACAGATTTTGAATAAAGAGATAACGCTCTTTAACGTGGTATAAGACTTGTTCCTGAAATCGAGGTACCAGTTGACGATTTGGGGCTTTGAAATTTGCCATTTTTTCATTGAACGAAAACGTTCAAAATATTGAAAATAATGAAAAATCTCCAAAATATTACACTTTCGTTCAAACTGAGTAAATTACCACTTAAAATGTGTGCAATTATGTACTCTTCTGAATAAGTTATTTGTTGTCCGTATTACAATGGATTTGAATTTTAAAACGATTTTTTTGTGACACATTGTCTCGGGCCTGGAAAACCCGGTCCGAGAGCCGCGAAACCAATAACCCCCCGGTACGTGGGAAATAATTATCGGATCAAAGTAAAAATTACATTTATGTTGATAGCTTACCTAGTGCTACTTGGTGAATTTTTTTGAGAATTTTCGATTTTTCACTTTTGTAGACCTCTGGTCGA